GAGGTTTCTTCCTGTTAAAAGGGAGTTTTTCCTTCCCACTGTCGCCAAAGTGCTTGCTCATAGGGGGTCATATGATTGTTGGGTTTTTCTCTGTATGTATTATTGTAGGGTCTACCCTTAAAATATAAAGCGCCTTGAGGCGAGTGTTGTTGTGATTTGGCGCTATATAAATAAAATTAAATTTAATCTTCAGTGTACCCTTTCAAATAAAGATGTCTATAGCAAATACTTCAGCTTCTACACCTCTTTTCAGAAGATAGTTCTGCTTCTGCTTTTTTCAGCAGAAAATTTCACAACATTCTCATAGGAATCTCACAGGAAATGCAACTTTTTCTAGTTTTTACTATTACTATTGTTGTTGTTGTTGTTGTTGTTGTTAAATAATGATAAAAAGAAACATTTTATTGCTATTAATAGTAGCTATGTGATATTATATCAAGACTTATGTTTGGATAGGGTTTAAAATATTTAGTTTAATGAATCAAAACTAATTCAGTCCTACCTAAGTGGTAAAACGGAATATACACAATAATGCAACAGCCATCATATACAGCACACCATATCTATGTCAATCTTTGACAGGGGTGCGTTGGTCTAAATAAGGCTTGCTATTCAAATAATAAATAAATAAAGCAATGCATATTTACATTTACAAATTTAGCCACAGTTATAAAACTATAGAATTATCTGTCTTAGATTGCAGAAAATTTGTTTTGCAAGCTGATCGATGAATATCTTTCATTTCATAGAGACTTGGGGGGTATTTCTCAAAGTCTGTCCTGCTTAAGCTCAATGTATGTCTCAGTCCGGGGGTTACGACTGCTGCAGAAGGATCGAACTAGAGTGAAACGAATTAAACTAAGCAATGAATACAAAACTGTATGAATTAGTGTAACTTACAGTTTAAGTGTATCAGCAGAATTCAGCTAAAGGGCCACAGTAACTTTCCTGGGCGAGCCTGGACTCCCGAGGCCCTTAACCCTTACGCTGTCTCACTCAACAGCCTAATATCTAAATGTAGCTTAAATACAAGAATTTTATCATGTCTTTTTCAACACTTAACACCTTTTAATTTTCATATTTCAAAAGGTTATTACATTTTCATATTTCAGATTTGAGGTATATTTCTTCAGCTCCAAAAAAGCTGAATATATTATTTAAATATCTAGGCTACAGATCCATATGTCCCCAAACCTTGACCCCAAGACGCTGGCAGTCGCATTATTTATCAGAAAACATCATAACAGAAATACTGAAAAAGTCCTTTACTTTTGACACTTTAGCTTCACTTTAAGGAAATGTGCTTAAGTGTGCCTATGGCACACTTATTACTATTTGGCAGATTTATTATTGTTATTATTATTATTATTACCGTTATTCCCACCCCATGCAGCAGACTGTGACAGCACTGAGCAGCTCCTTCAGTGGGAGACTGCGGCACCCACGGTGTGAGACGGAGAGATTTCGCAGGTCTTTCCTCCCCACTGCTGTCAGACTCCACAATAAAGACTTTAACTGATCAAACGCACACATCCACACATGTGCAATAACACTAAGTGCAATAATCTTTTCTGGCATCGTTGTTTTTTTACTCAGTTGTATATAGCATTTGTATTCTATTTTTATCTTATTGTATATTTTTTTCTACTGTATATAATATTTTATTTTATTCTATTCTGTACAGTTGTGTACTGTATTTATTCTTATTGTATTCTAATTTTTGCTTCATAACTTTTGCACTGTCCACTTCCTGCTGTGACAAAACAAATTTCCAACATGTGGGAATAATAAAGGTTATCTTATCTTATCTTATTCCGCCTAAAATTTTGATCACGCCCCACAGCTTTGAGACAACCCCCAAATTTGTTATACCATTTTCATATGGCTCGATAGGGAATGGTGTGCTATGGG